ACTGCACACAGTTATCTCAGAGGAGATTATAGGTAAGTTCACACTGGTCCATCCTTGTGCGTTGCAATAATGTGAGTTAGTTTAAGGAAGCCCATTCATTTTAATGGGCTGGGAACGCAACAAAAATCAGACATGCAAGTTATTTTTGAAGCAGCATATGGTAGTGCGTTACTGTGCATTGTGGTGCTCTGCAATGCATTAGCGTTGGAGGTGTGTTGGGAGCCCAAACAAAGACTGTTATTTTATTTTTTTCCAGGATATCTGCATTAGTGCCCATCAATTATTATTAATGTCATGGGGTGTATTTGTTTGCAGAGCTGTCGGCTCTGTGAAAATGTCAGTTTTAGATTTGCACCGCATTATGGCTACTAAATGAAACTAAGGAGCATAAGAAATTATTGTGCACCTTGGCTCCATCTAGTGGCCATAATGCGGTGCAAATCTAACAGGGTTATTCACAAAAGGGTGAAGAGTTTGGAGAAGTGAACAATCCAGGACAACACAGCTGAACTGGAAAGTGAGCTCAAATGGGGAATTGTACCAGTTCAGCTATGTTGTCCTAGATTGTTCACTTCTCCTGCCTTCTCCAAACTCTTCACCCTTTTGTGAATAGCCCTGTGAGGGTGTCACAGAGCAAACAGCTCTGCATGTTTTATAAATATATCCCACTATTTTTACTTGTGTTCATTGTAATTGTATATATAATAAATAAAGTTGGTTTTAGTGGAAAGTTGTTATAGAGACAATATTGATGTGAGAGAATCTGAAAAGATAAGTACCACAAGTAAGGCCCCGTTCCCATGTAGCGACTTATCGCGCGATTTCCGCCGCGATATCGTGCATTTTTGCTGCGCGATATCGCGAGAAGTCGCCGGCTAATGATAGTCAATGGAGCTGTCTTAGCTCCATGTCGCGGTCGCAAGTCGCTTCTACCGGACCCTTTTTTCGGCGGATTTTGCTGGAGCCCGACGCGGAGAAGGTCGCGCTACCATCGCTGGATCGTCGCTGGAACGTCGCCCCGAAAGTCGCGCTATCCCGGCCGCTGCAAAGGTATGTCGCTACATGTGAACTAGGCCTAAGGGAATTATAAGAAATGTATGTATATAAATATTTCCACTCCATACCAACTCCGTACCTTTAGGATAAAGACCCTCCTGGGGTGAAACGCATCAGTTGAAGAAGCAGTGTGAGGAGGATGGTATCATGTGCTATGCATGGTACACTGGGAAATAAAGTTTACTGATAAAAAAAAGATTTGCTGCAGGTGCAAATTTTCTGCACTGCTTGTCTGAGTCTTCAGGGAGATGACAGACCTGTGTGGCTACAGCAGCCCCAACAAGAGGTGAGCAACCCATGCCATGCGTTGTGGTGCACGGCAACGCATGTGCATAGGGTGCGTGCGTTGGCACTACAACACACTAACACATGTAATGTGCATGTTACTGCAACACAACACTGGGCCCTTAACCCCTTCATGAATGAGCGTGTTTTTAGTTTGTTAGTAAATGACTGACGCATTTTTGACATTTTTGCTTTGTAATATATTTTCTTACAAAGTGCACTCACACATATTATATGTTGTTTTTTTAGAGGACAGATAGGGCTGTATATTTATATCACATATGTGTACCTAACGCCTCACTTGGGACAAATAAAATATAAAAAAAGAGGAAAAAACGTAAAGAAAAACACTTTTTCCCCAGTTTTGATTTGTAGTTAGCTAAAAAAAATGCAATAAATGCAATCATTTATTTGTCCTTTATTTGGAAAAACCTCACATCCCTAGGATTCTAGAAATGTTTCTGTACTTCTCGGTCTAAAACTAAAACCTAACATTTTAATATTTTTTTCTCTAAAAGCTAAAGCTAAAAGTGGTCACCTGGCATACAATGGTACTTTCACAAATGTCACACTTAGCGACAGTGACATACTTTGAGCATCACTGTCATGAGGGGGTTATAAAAAAAAAAAAAAATTAACCTCAAAGTGAAAAACAAATCTGCAGCTCAGCTGCAGATTTTCATTGTAATGGGTTAATTTTTAGATCAATGATAGTATAAAAATATATTTAAATAAATCATTTTTATTTGTTACATTTATTTTTTACAATTTTCACTATTTTTTTTAACTTTTTACATTTTTATTTAATGTAATTATTTCAAGCAGTCATTGTGAATGAATCTCACTATTACTGCTTGATAAATTAATCAATTAATTTTTGGTTATTATCAGGCTGCTTCAAACTTAAGAACAGCCAATAATAACCTTAGTGACACTGATCCTGCAGCATTTCAGGATCAGCTATCACTAAAGGTTTTCTGATCGTTCCAACAACGATCAGAAAACTGCAACATTGTTTCAGGAATAGATACATTATGTTTCTATTGCTGAAAGTTAAAAAAAAAAAAGCCGGTGTACATCGGGATTTCCCGATCTATACAAGCTGTCACAGTGACGGCAAGAGCTGCAAATTCGGCGCTGCCCTCACTCTCAGACACCCGATTCCTTAATCTATACTGAGGCATCTATTAATGAATGGTAACTACTGCTTTTCAGCGGTTACCAGCATTGTAGAGCAGCAAATAACTGGTCACGTACAGCGTACGTGGCCAGTGATTTGAGCACTTCGTGACGGGACGTACAGTGTATGTCTCCTGTCACGAAGGGGTTAAAGGTAATATTTTTTTCCTTCGCTTTTTTTTTCTATCCATGGAAGCTGATGTGAATGCAGTGCAAAAAGGAACTTCACCTACCCCCCTTATGTCCATAAAGTCCAATGACATAGCAATCTACAGCAGCGTTTCACTGTAAATTCATTCTTTTAATCGAAAATATATCAAATCATAATGTGCAGATACAATATCACAGAATTACCATGCGCCTCTGTTTTCACACATACCAGGTACTGGTGGGTATTATATTCTGACTGCTAAAATGCTTACATCAGGCACAAGAGAAAACCCATTCAAATGTCCTAACATTGTTTCCACCATGAAAACCTAAATAAGAATAACAGACTAATGTAATACACAGGGCCGGATTTACTCTCTCCGCTGCCCTAAGGCCAGGTTTCTCAGGCTAGATCAGGGGTCTCAAACTCGATTCACTCGGGGACCACTGGACAAAATGTGTTTTCCCTATGGGAGCCGCTTGCCAAACTTCATACACACACAGAAATATGCACAACCCCCCACAACCAGAACTACAAACACTAATATATCCACAATAAGACCCCATTCACACATGTAAGTTTAGGTGCAATTAAGCATTTCTGTGTCAGGAACTTGCATATTCCTGCAGCAGTAATCCCTAATCTGCTGTTTACATGCAGCAACTGTCACCCATTCAAGTTAACGATCAGGTGACAGCCGCTGCATGTAAACACCTTTACACCGCATGTGCAGGCGATATGATTTCATGCTGTTAGGAATCAATCACTATCCCTGGATACATTGATTGTGCATCCGGGGAGAATGATTCCTAACAGCATGTAATCATATCACACACCATTACATGCGGTGTGCAGGTGTTTACATGCAGTGGCTGTCACCTGATCATTAACTTCAATGGGTCACAGCTGCCGCATGTAAACAGCACATTAGGGATTCCTGCTGCAGGAAACCGCAGGTTCCTGATGCAGGAATACCTAATTGCACGTAAACTTACAGATGTGAATATTCTCCCCCATTCCCCGCCCTCCCACACAAAATAATATGCTCCCCCTGTTGCTCGCCCTCCCACACAAAATAATATGCTCCCCCCATTCCCACACAAAATAATAGCCCCCCCCCGTTCCTCGCCCTCCCACACAAAATAATATTCTCCCCCATTCCTCGCCCTCCCACACAAAATAATATGCTCCCCCTGTTCCGCGCCCCCCCCCCCATAAAGCAATATACTCCCCCCATGTTCTCTGTCATGTCCCCACCCCCGACATATAAAACAATATACTCCTCCATTTTTTTCTGGGTTCATGCAGCATCCTCGATTTTCTTTTTAGTTGGTGCAACTATCATGTATGGTTCCGTTCACACAGCCACATCGACCATTTGTGAATCAAAAGACTACAAGACCCTTCTGCCACTGCGGTAGATCTAAATGGAGCACAGGTGCATGGCATCAACGCACTTGTAGTCCATTAGGAACATCCTCTAGCCCCATAGGCGAAGGTCCGTACCGCCGTGCGGACAGGAACACTTTGCTGGAGCCTGTGCATTGCACTTTGCAGGCTCCGATGCAATAAAATGAATAAATGAACCAATGTGTGTGTATTTATTCTCCAAAAAGGTGGAACGTGCCTTTAAAAATAACCATAATCAGCTCTCCTGCCCCCAACGTCCTACCTAGACCATAAACACGTCAAGAGGCAATATCATGGCTGCAGGAATGACACATTGAAGTCAAGGTCACGCTGTAATTAGAACGCCCGGGGTAGGATAGCCGTCTGGCTGGTCAGGCTTCATCAGCCTGAAGGGGGAATGGAGTGCGCACCTCACCAGGTGACACATTTTAGGTTATCAGGGATGCAATCTCTCTTTCCTAAACATCTATATGGTGGCAAAAAGCCACATCCTCCCTAGCCCTGCCCACCTCATCACTACAACTGGCATCCGAACAGGAGCCACTTTAATGCCCTTCCCAGGCAGAGGCATCTAAGACAGCCCTGCAATGTCACCTTGTCGCCCACCTAAAAGCAAACAGTGGCAACCCCCTTCCCTCGCTGGTGACCTAGAGCCCTGTAGGACACACAGGAGGAGGATGGCGCACTTACCCGCTGCCGCGTGTGTGGAAGCGAGGAGGGATGCGCTCGGACTGAGTCAGGTGAGGAACAAGCTCACACGGATGGAAGCTGACAGGGAAACAGAAGCCTGGCTCCATTCACAGGGAGCTGCTCACGCAAGCGTGACGACAGGACCCAGGGGACCACCCCGATCAAGAGAACCCGAAACCACTCCCCAGGACCTACAAAGTGACTGCTTCCCCTGGCGGCATCGGCTTACCTGGTGCTGGCGGGTAGCAGCATGCTCTCCTCATCTCCACGCAGAATGGCTCTGATGGATGCAGTGCTGACGCAAAGCTTGAGTCACTCACAAATGCTTGTCAGTCGTGAATGGGAACGTGTGAAAGTTGCGGGTGGGGGAGGACAGTCACGAGGCTGAAGCTGATCATTCTTTTTCCTTTATCCTTCTCTCCGGCTAAATATGTATTTGCTGGGTCAGATGTCAGACATGGAAGATGTCACACGCCTCATAGCACCATTCATTCCATGGGGAATTTGGAAACAAAGCAAGCCGTCGTTTCCTTAAAGCCAAAACTAACATTTTATTTATTGCAGCTCAGCAGTCCTATGATGTGGCGGCTGCATTAGTCCCCCTTCACATGGGTTGAACAGGAGGGTATCCGTGTCCAGATTTCCCCTCCGTCTTGTAATGGAGGAAAGTACTCAAACTGGCCGACCCCACGGTGGTCTACTGGGAGTCAGGGATAATCACATTACCCCCGATCTGGCACCATCAGGTCAAGCGAAATGGAACACTGTTCCATTTGTTTTTCCAGACCTGGCCAGAATGGGGGGTAACTGGGTGTAAACAGACGCCCGTCCATTTAGACCCAGGTGCCCATAGACTAGGATTGGGCATCCAATTGGGTCCACCTGAAAAACTGATACAGAGGGACCCAATTGGATCTCCCATGTGAAAGGTGCCTTAGGCACCTTGCAGACGAGCGGTCCGATCAAGTTCGCTGGTCAGTTTTTCAACCAGACCCGATCGGATGCGCTATGGAAAGCTGTGTTTTAACACCCGGTTAGCTCCGGCTTGGTGTGGTAAAACAAACGGATCACTGATACGCTTCGACGGCCTGTATCCTGCCAGACCAGGGGTAATCTGATGTAAACAGACACATGTCTGTTTACATCAGATTCCCCATAGACCGACATGGGGTCCGGCGCTTTCAGTTTCCTCTATCGCAAGTCATGGATGTCCACTCCATACTGCTCTGATCAGGAGATAATCTGTTGACGGATCCTCTCCTGATTGGCCCATGTAAAAAGGGTGTTTAGTTTCTTCGCTTTGTCCTTTTTTATTTTACCTTGTGACCTTGCTAGTAACTGGTGATGTGCAGGGGCCTGGTCACTGACACACCCCTCTCTGCCCAATCAGTTGCCTCAGGGGCATTCCCTTACCCTTTGTGACATGTAGCTGGGAGGGGGCATATCAGTGACAGTTTTGTGTGGACTTAGTTTTTTACTGCGCCCGCACACATCACTACTGTTCCTTTTCCACACACTTCCTGTTTTAGGGTGACAACACTCGCTTCTGCACTGTATAATGGAGCAGTGTTGTCACCCTAGACTGCTCTCCTGATTTGTCACACGTGGACTTGCAGGAATTGGCCAAAATGTGATCCGTGGGTAGCCTTGTCTCCTGGACTAAAGTCGAACATTTGACTTTTGTGGAAGGGACACACTGCAAAATTGTTGGGAGAGCAGTGCTTGCAGCCAGTCAGCTGGCTACTGTCAGAATACAAAGGACACACTGTTAGCGTGGGTGAACGAATCGATCAGAATAGTTCTGTTCAGCCTCGTAGGGTGAACGATTTATATCTGCATTTACCCAGCTTAAGTCCTCTCTTCATCTCCATTACATGGGGGAAAGGAGTTAGCAGATTACAAAAGAAAGCTCAGAAAGGCAGATACGATTTGTGCTTTCTGTTAAGCTCTCAGTGAGGCCCGGTTCACACCTGAGCGTTTTACCGCGCGTTCGATCGCGCGGTAAAACGCCATATGCCCAAAGAAGTACATGAGCTTCTTTGGGGCGTATTAACGCGCGTATCCCGCTGTATCCATAAGGATACCCGCTCGGAAACTCGCGGTTGCCGCGTGTTTCTTTTACCGCAAATCGCGGTAAGAAACGCAGAGTTTCCAATACGCTGAGTTGTGAACCCAGAATCAGTGACCAGGGCTCTGCACTTCTAGCAAGGTTAATAGGTTTTTTCTGTACTTGCTGAAAATGTCTGTAGCCTGAAAAGAGAAAATGTATGCAGCTACCACATGGAAGGGTTGGTAAGCTGCAATATATTACATTTAGATATCCATAAACCCTCGTTCACATCTCTGTGATGCGGGAACTTGTGTTATAAGTACACTTATCCTTTAGTCCCCTTTAAGGTTATGTGATCGCTGCCTCCCTACACTTGCATAGATCAATACTCAGCTGTTCCAATACCTCAGTTGTTTGTTGACATCCATTGCTTTCTATGCGGCATGTCTCCCATCCTGGAGCTAGAGGTGGTTGAGCCCCATAGAAGTAAATGGGGTTGTGCTGAGCAGGTGTGCACAGGGGGAAGTCCACCACAGGATGTCAACAAACAACCAAGGCCACACCTCGGGGAAGGAGCAATGATGTCACCTTAAATGGGCCTAAAGGATAAGTGCCCTTTGTTTTAAAGTGTACCTCTCCTTTAAATCTTTGTAGGGGGCTCATAGCCCACTTCTGGACTTATCTGGCGGGAATACACAAAGCACACATGGTCTTGTATATAGACCATTTTTGCTTATCCTAGGGCTCAGATTAATGGCCAGTTCACACCAATTACAGTGTGTTCCAGATCAGTAGCTGCTGTAACGGACTGTCATCGTTCTGGGGTGGCATGCATCATTTTTTTTGCGTTTGCACTGGACCAGAACGCACTGCGGACAGGGTGCTTGGCTGTGATGATTACTTTAATGCACCGCCACGCCCCCCTTCCGGCCTCAGAGCGAAGGGGGGAGTTTAGTGTGCGTTGACTGTGCTTTGTGTATTTCTGTGAGATAAGTCCAGTAATGGGCTGTGAGCCTCCTACACAGATTTAAAGGATAGGTGCACTTTAAAACAGTTGGCCCCACTGGCTGTCAAAATACCTGAATAATCTGATTGGATGCAGGCATTGTTCAGGTGTTTTGAGAGCCAGCGGGACCGACTAGCAAGATACTAAAGCTCGGCCCAGTGGGAGATTCCTCCATCCACACAGTTTAGTGTAGATGGAGGAATCTGTTGCACTTTTCCCATGTGACCGTAGAAAATCTGCAGATAATCTATAGGTGTACGGCCAGCTTGAGCACGTTTTTCCACACACTCTTGCTCCTAACAATTGGTCTCCTCCTCCTAGCAAGCTCAAGCCTGTGAGCACAATGGAGGATACAGGAGAGTCAAAGCTTGATGCAAAGACATTCATCCGCCCGTTGATGCCCACAAGAACCTCTGATGCCTGTGACACCCATTACAAGAACTGGGAGCAAGTGGCAGAAGTGGGGGAAGAATGTGGGTGTGATGTTTCCTAGGCTGGGAAGCTCAGATATCACAAGACACCAAAACGTCACACAGAAAGCAGATACAAGGACAATGAGGGCATATGATGTCACAGATGATACTGCACAAAACAAGAAGGCCTAAAGCTGAAAATACATTAAAAATGCTTCACAAATGTATGTTCACATGCACAGAAGCAGACACAAAAAGCTTTGAGAGGACTCAAAAGAGGACTGCACATATTACTGTACCTACATGGTTTGAACTGAACTCAAAGGACGCAAGGCAAACTGCCTTGTGTTGGTAAACACAGTCCAACGCTGCTGCTGTAAACAAACCCTTAAACGTAAATGTTTAAAAAAAAAAAAAATACTCTATTATAGCAACAGGAAGGTAAACAAGTCTGCTGTAATTACCACTTCAGTGTGTGTTTCTCTCTCACACTAGTGTTTATTTTACTATTTGATTTGCTAATGAAATAACCTGAGTGCACTGATGCATCTATTGTGTCTCAAGATTATTCAGCACGTGCCCTCTGCAGACCTACTTCCATAAGTGCCCTGATCGCGAGCTATAAATAGTTCCTGTGAATTCAACCCTTCTGATTCTGAGCATCCAGTGCTGAGGATCTGTCACTATGGAAACCTGATCAGCATCTTTCACATGTTCCTGTCTGTGCCTGGGAAACAGCTGGTGAATAAGTGAGCTGACACAGAGCTTTCCCTAACACATAAACCTGATAAAATAGCAGACACAAAATCATACAGTATCAGCTTTTCAGATTATCCTCGGCAGAAAACTACATCGAGCTTTCTGTATATAGAAGATTAAAGAGCTTAGGAAATGAATTGGAAACCGACTGCCTCACTGCATCGTTGCTAAAAAGACAGATGCAAATAAATACCAGTGAAAAAAACGTTTGCCCCCTCAAATTCTGGAAGTGTACTTGTGTGCAAATACACAGAGTTCTATCATCACAACCTACATGGGCGTCTACAGTCAGTTATGCTTGGCTTCCTTCATGACTCACATCACAGCAAAATAGCTTTTTATTTGGTGGTCGGTTTGTGGTCACAATATGCTTAATACCACCCCCTTTGATTAATATGTCTTAGAAATGTGAAGGAGGAGTCTCCTTGGATCCCTTATTGTCCAGAGAAGAATCCCTTCTCTCCTTCCTGAAAAGTCCTTTACACCCTTGCATTCAGTAAACATGACTAACGCACAGGCTCCTAACGGTTGGGGTGCAGCAGAATCCTACTTTTTACCCCTGGTGGCTGGAGTGCATTAGTTCTCCTTTCTTCAAGTTCTCCTTTGGCAAGGATGCAACACAACAGTCTGGACCTCTAGCTACAGTCAAATCCGTAGGTATGCTTGGTGTGCACGCTCAGAATCACTCCTACTGATGTCAGTGTGTGCAGAAAGATCCCTTATGTCAAGGCCAACAGGACAACTGTTTAATGTGTTCTGCAGCACACTAGTTATACCATATCCTACAAATTTGAGTGCAGCATGATCTTCCTCTGGTCAGAGGACAGCATGACATCAGTGCATAAAGATACTGCAATCCCACAGTGTTTGTGAGAAGTAGCATCCCTGTGCAATTTCCAATGTTAACATACATCAGGATCCTACAGTATGCACTGTAAGTGATTAAGAGATCTTAGACTGTTCGGTACTGCTCTGTTCAGCAATTAATGCCATCAAACAAGAAACCTGAAAGTG